GCAGAATTCACAGGCAGCAGGAAAGGTGGAGAGGGAGGGGAGGGACCCCTGGAGATAGGGTAAAGGTAGCAGAGCCTGGAAGGCTAGGACAAGAAGCTAAGCTGGATCTGGAAAGCAGCCAGGGGCCAATGGGGTATTTGAAGCAGGGGATGACACAGTATGCCTCTCTCAGTGGGGACTATACAGCCTGAGCAGTGTCTCAGGGCATAGGGAAGCCTTCAAAGACTTTCTCCTTTTTTGATCTCCCTTCACTGCAGAGAACTGAGACAGCCCTCCCCTGCCAGGGATAGCTCCACACAGGTTGTACCCTCTGGAGCCTGTTTATTTCACGCAACATCTGAAGGTTTCAGTAGCTGGAACCCCAGCGCTGTTCTGGTTCATGTTGCACTGTGTGGGAGACAGTGTTGCCAGTTCTTCTGACTTTTATCATGAGTCTTGTGCTATCTGGCAGCTTCCTCAAAACACCAGCTCTTGCAGTCATGTGTGACGTTCAGCTTTCATTAAGAAAAATAAGCTGCTGTTCTGATCTTCATTTTTGCAGAGAAAAGCTCTAAAATGTGACTCTTAAATGTGCTCAGAAACCAGAAGGCAAATGAAAAGAACCCTAACTTATTAATTTTTACAATCTTACTATTTTTAAGCCAGTGACTCTTGCGGGGGGAGGAGGGAGGTCTGGGTCATGAACTGCTTTTGAACAGCTGGGGTTAGTAGTACTGGCTCGACTCATGGGCCACCCTTGCTCGTGGAACTGTGGTAGATTCTGAGAAATGGGAGATTAACCCAGTCCTGCCCACTGGCTGTGCTTCCAATTTCAGGACATTCTGGACTGCTACCACGATCGCTGGGTGCCAGGGCTCATGGATCCAGGAGTCTCTGCAAGAGAACTGTGTGTGTCCTCCACTGTCATTTATCTTTGTGTAGTCCTCTGTCAGACTAAGATGACACAACTTTTTCTGGCTATCGTGAAGGATGAACCTTCTCTGAAGTTCTTGCTACACTTTTTACCTCTTATCACTTTCATTAGACTCTTACACTTCCTATGAAATTACATTTTTGGCCACATAACTATGTATCCTTTCAAAGCACAAGAATGTCTTCATTCTTTTTAACTTCATACCTCTGAAACCTTGCTACCTACCTCCAGCACTGCGACTAGAATAGAAGACCACTCTTTTTTTTTTTAACATTACTTTGCAGTGTTTATTAACAAAAGAAGAAAATTGCATTAGCCCTCTTTTTAAAGATTATTGTGCAAACATAAAGAGAAGACACTTTGCTAGAACTTCAGCACCAAGGTTAACCATGGAAGAACATTGGAATGAGGCCAAATCTGAGCGAGGAAGTGATGTCATAGTTACTTGGGATGACACGGAATGGTGTTGTAGTTAGCTCTGGAACTGGTTCCAAAAAACCAAGTTGTTCAGTTGCTTTTTTCAGAGGAATGTGTGAATGAAATAAGCATGTTTAGGATTAGCCAGAGTTTTTAAAATGCTACTTTTCTTCTTGGCTAATGAGCTTTTAAAGATTATTAGTGCTTTTCACTTGATACTTGGGTGATTCAAAGAAGGTGATGTACTACGTGTTCCTTAATTTCCTGGGGTATGTCTACACAGCAGCGTTATTTTGGAATAACTGACATTATTCTGAAATAACATAGTGTGCGTCTACACAACAAGCCTTTATTTCAAAATAATGTCGAACTGGAGGACTTCTTATTCTGACTCCTGTAACCCTCATTTCATGAGGAGTAAGGGAAGTCGAAGGAAGAGTATTCTTCCTTCAACTTCCTGCTGTGTAGACAGTGCCAAAAGCCGAATTAAGCTATTTCGACTTAAGCTATGCAGTTGATGTAGCTGAAGCTGCGTAGCTTAATTTGACTTTTTAAACTAAGTTGCTTTTTAAACGTGCTCCCCTCAGACTAGCTCCCTCCTGGCACCCCACACTGCTGCTAGTCCTGCCCCCGGGGACTATAGAATAGGCGACTAACCGATAAGAATTCATCAGGTTTACTCGACTATTCAATTAACTGATATTTAACGTCCCTACTTCTTTCTTGGGAAAAGTTCAGAAAATAGCATAAAAGGGTGTTTTTCCACTTGTCATTGTAATGCTTTAATATGAGCGATGTATCTAAATATGTATGATCTGTCTCCCAATAATATAACAGCTGTAACCTCTGCTTGTGAGTTACTGTCCGCTGAGAAATGGGACACATCTCAGGACCTTCAGGCTTTGTATTTACTGAATAGTGTTAGAGCTAAGTGCACTTTGGTCCTGAGTTTTCTGAAGCCTTTGGAGCTGCCTTCTGCAAATCTGAGGACTTGAAAAGCAAGTGGAAAATGGCTAACTGGTTATGTTGACTGTGGATCATGTCCCAGTCTCTGGGGACTTTGAAATAAATACATGAGAACTCTGTTTTTTCAGCCAAGGCAATCTAGGCTATTTTTGATGACAGAACCCTGGGATTACTCTCCCGGATCAGATCACAGGTGACTTTCCCCCTTCCCCGCCACGCTTCCTTGGGCCTCTTCTGGATGTGGCTCCTCCACAGGGTCCTCCCATAGCACCTTTATTCCTCAGATCATGCTCTGCTGACTCCTTCCTAAAGACCTTAAGTCTCCCAGGCTTTTTGACTTTTTGCAAATTACATAATTGAAAAATAAAACATCTCCCAGATGGGAAGAGGCCAGACAATCCAAAGCTGGATGACTGACCATTAGTCAAAGAGAATTCATGAAAAATGCAAATTGTTAGCTGCACCTTAATTTATCCATAGAACCACAGCCAGCCTTTTGTAATCTCTGGCTTTATAGATATGTTGCTTTTGGCTTGGCTGAAGAACACAGTAAGGGCCTGATTCTGTGTGATGCTGAGCACCCTTAACTCTTATTAATATTCCAGGTTTGACTCTATAGGGCCCAGCCTGCACCCATCAAAGTTTCCGTTGACTTCAGGGAGTTCTAGAACAAACCCTGTGTATACTTCTTTGCTGTCCTGTCACAGCATCCATTCCCACCAGAGAAAATGACCAGCTCTCCATTAGTCTTTTATTGTAACAGAAATAGCTCTATTGCAATGGACCATTACTGAGTATCAGTGAGCGGTTCCTGCTTTACCAGCGTGTGCCTTGGCTTTGCCTTGCTGTTTATGTACGAGAGACCATTCTCTGACAACAGTGTTCCCTTTGTCTGTCCACTGGGGTTATCTCTTCAGTATCTACTGCTCCGTTTGAGTTGATGGCTCCTGTCACTTCCTCCACCAGAACGTGTGTGTCCAAGTCATGGGCCATGCTCTCCTTTTTTAACATGGTTGTATCTGCTGGTCAGATCTGTTCTCATGAAGTCAGGTTCAAATCTCAGGTAAAACAAAACAACCCAACCTAGTCAGCACATAAGTACAGGCTTCCAACCAAACAGTGGGCTCTTGCCTCTATGTGTGTCACGTCCTTAAGAGAAGTTTAGTTATATGGTCCATATATCAAGTTTCTTCTCCCTCCCCCACCCGACCCCCACCATCCTGACACATGTTATTTTTAGACAGAGATTTTTAAAAGCATCTTAGGGGAATTAGACACTAGTCTCCTGTTGACTTTTGTGGGTGTTGGGCTCCTAAATCACTTACTCCTTTGACATCCCAAGCTATAGATGTTCAGGCGAAAAGGAATGATTATGATCCAATCTTCTGCTTATGAACAATCTCTTCCAAGAATATTTTTTTTTTAAGCACTGACCAACAGACTCCTTATATTTGTTGCTCTAAATTCCACCAAGATCCATTTAGCACAAGAGCTTGTTGCCATTTCTGTATGCACCAGATAATTGGTATTTGGGATTCACAGAGTACAACTAGACTGCAGGGGTGCTCCACTGCATCTGGGGTATGTGTTCGCTTTTTTGTGGGGGAAGACCAAATGCGCTCTTTCAGAAGCCCCTGTATTCTTCGTTCCATGAGGAAGAAGGGGGCTGTTGAAAGAGGGTTTTTTTTCCAAAATTTGGCCCAGTCTAGGCCTCTTCTGAAAAGCCTCTTCTGACAAAAGTATCGGAAAAAGATATGCAAAATGCAAAGCATATTTTGCATATCTTTTTCTGATAGATCCTCGCAGTCTAGACCTACCCAGACTGTTGCTCTCATCTCTTCTGAAATGAGCCCATTTCTGGAGTGAAACAAAGAGTATGTGGGGTGAAAACAGGAATGGCTTCTTTCAGTTTTTAATACTGTAGTAATTGTTCTAATTCTTATTACTTCATGTATAGACAGCCATATCATATGCCATAATTTGCTGTAGCACAATAACATTTACTTAAGTTATTTTGAATAAAGATGGTAGGAAACCTAAGGTTCATGGTTAGATACATTTCATGAGATTAATATTCTTGGCCATTATAATCACTCTTCTTCCTAGGATAAAAATGGATCATGTGACCAAAGATGACTCAGATCCTAGAGGGCTTTAAATTAGAAAAATATCGCATTTGAATTCTGATTAATGTTGGATGTTATGCCAATTTACTCCCATGACTCAACTATTCCATTATGTGGTTTTCTTAGCAGGCCACCTAACTAGTAATTTAGCTGGTTCCTGACTTATCTCTAAAACATAAGTAGTCCAACCAATCTGTAACATAATTAATTCCATAGTCTCCTGCTGCCAGAGCAGAGCATAGACCTGCCTAGTCCAACAAACTGCCCCTTGTGATGTTTTTGGCCTGAATTAAACTGAACTCCCCTAAAGTTCTGATTAATCTAATTTGAATACTTGTAACCCTAAGATCACCATGTGAAAGCAGTGCCTTTTGATAATCCATTATATTGCTCTGATGTTGCTTTCTGAGATGATGATTTAAAAGGGAATGGAGATGAGATAAGGTATAAGTTACATCACACACTTACTTTATAATTGCATTACTGTAACCCCCCCATCCACTCTTAAATGCAACATTACACATGCACTTGTACATAATTTCTCTTTAAAGGGTAAGGGATGAGAATGTTATATACTAACAGCACGAATGCTTTAACATAAATATAGCTGTGTGTTACACCTTTGCTCTTAGGTGTGGTAAATAGGGATGCAGGGGGTGCGATAGCACCCTCCAGGTTTTGTAGCTGGCTTCCCTGCACCCAGGGGCCAGTCCCACTGTTGACCTGCTGCTGGCTCTGCCAGCCCCAGGTTCTAGCCTCTGAGTGGACCTTCTTCCAGCTTTGCTACCCCCTGGAGGCCTGCTGTGCCCATAGGCTCTGCAGCTTGCTATCCCTGGGATCCAGGCCACTGACCCTGGGGGCTCTGCTGCCACTTGGGGTCCCACCACTGGCCTGGGGTCTCTGGCCCTCTAGCTGTGACTAGGTTGCTGGTTCTCCCGGATTGGACCACTGGAGGTGATGGCATGTGTTATGTCTGGTCTGGGAGAGCTGGTGACCTTAGGTGTGTTAATATTGCAATGGTGGCAGCATTACGTATGTAGAAAGGATAAACAACTCATCTGGCTTATCACAAATGTGTTTCTAAATTGGTCAGTTTGCTTGGCCTTGACACCCATCTGTGACAGTCAAGCTCCATTATGTAGTGGCAGCATCCTTTTCGCAACAGCTTTTGCTCTCAAAAGAGCATTTTTATATGGTCCGTTCAGATTGGCAAGTTCTTGAAAATCTGGTGTCACAAAATGAATCTTTAGGGGCTTCCAGTTTTGAAAACACATTTAATTCATGAATTACTTCATCCCAAAATGGATTTACCCTCCAGTACGATCAAAGCATGTGGAACCAATTATTGTCCAGATCCTTTACAGCTCTTTGAGTCATATTCTCTGTTACCCGAATCACTCTTTCTTCCATACTGGGGTCCAGCCAATCCTAATGTGACCACGGTGATGTGTTCCTGGGCATGCAGAGTGTAGAAGGCTGTGCCTCTCTAGAGCTTCCTCTGGGAGGGAGGACATGATGTTCATGTAGCTGAGCCTGGAGTCCAGCCCTCTGGACCCTTACAACAGTCAACAACCAAGCCAGGCAGCACTGCCATGAGGCTATAAGCTATCCCTGGCTCAGAGAATCTTTTGCCAGTTTCTCCAGGCCAGCTGCTCTGTTACAGTGAATAACCTCTATGAGGAGTATGGTGTGACTGCTCCTCCATGAGGTGCCCCTTTCTAATCTGTCTTTGGAAGGTGCTGCATTTAGGAAAAAGACAAGACACAGCCACAATGTTCCATGCTATCCCAGATCTGACATGCTACCGCCTCAATTACAGCAGGGGTTCTTGAACCATCTTGCAAGCAGGCTGCAGGCTCGGGGCTTGCTCTGCCCTGCAGCAGAGAGCCTGTGCCCACCCACATTATGGGAGCACCAGTGTTGACTTCCCCTGGGGAGGGGGAAGGGCGAGTCTTGCAGGCTGGACTTGGCTTGCTGGGGAAGGAAGTGGCTTCACATGCAGCTGCTCCCCCTTTCCCTGGCTGGGAAAAGGGAGTGCAGGAAACTTTTTACCTGGAGGTTTTCCCTGCTGCTCCCATTGGTCAGAATCATGACCAATGGGAGCAAAGGGGATGGTGCCTGGGAACAGCAGGAGGCCTGAAGCCAGGTAAGTACCTCGCCATTTCCCTCATGCCTAGACCCTGCACCCCATTCCCATCACATATCCTAACTCCCTAGATACCCTATGCCTGTACCATGTTCCTAATCCCTCTCCACCT